ATCCCACGACCATTACCACCACCATGTTTGACTGTTGCTGTAAGGTTCTTTTTATGAAATCCTGTGTTAGCTTTTCTCTAGATGTCATTGTCTGAGTGAGAAGCTGGAAATTTCCATCAGTTCCTGAGCATCCTTGGATCTGCCCATGGGCAGGGCCACCACAGCTTCACGCATCTGGAGCTAATTGCAGCAATCAGGCCAAAGGGGATTTAAGCTCTACGCTGTCATCTCTTCTCTGCCAGTTTGTCATCTACCTGATGTTTTTAACCGGCTCTCATGTTCATGTTTCTGCTCTCAAATAGGTTGACTTGTGTTGTTTCTTGTGCTCCAGGACTTTCTCCAGTGCCGACTGCCACTCACCTCTTGGATCTCGGTTCCCGCTCACTGGGAAATATCTCCAGACCTCACCTGCCTGGCTGCCTTCCTGTCCGCTCACCACTTTAGATCCAACGTTTCACCTTCTCAAACCCCAAGGAATTACATCACCTCCCCCTCAACACCTCACCTCCACCTCCTGCAAGTAAGCTGGAGAGACTGTTATGCTCACCTTCTCTAGTAGCCCACTTAAACCCAGCTCTAACTCTGCTCTCCTCTCTCCCCAGTGTACCTGCCAGATCCAGTTGTCCTTATGGTCCTGCCACTTTGATAGTTTCACGGCCACGTTCCCATGCCACAGTTAGCAACGTCCCTGTATATTTACCTTCGTCACATGTATTGTACATTCACCAATAAATTGTGTTAAAACGCTTCCTTGCCTCCGCTCTGGGTTTCTGTGCTTGGGTTCTGTTCAAGTTGCTGGCCTCCGCCCAGTGTGACACTAGATGTAACGGAACTCAAATCTCCCAAACATCGCTGTGAAATGCACTACACACACGTACACACACGCACAGGTCTTTGTCGCCAGATGCCACGTTTATTTATGGTTTCCTTTGTTATGACCAACCACAGTCTGACAGCTGTCGGTCCCAGCTTATTTCCAGCCCTCCTCCGCTCCTCTCCCGTCTCACTATAAAAGGGAAGGAGACCATCATCAGTCCAAAACGCCATCAGCTGTTCTCACCTGCGTCTCCAGCACCGCCCCGTTGAGCTCACTGCACCACTCCTCCCCTGCAGCCGCGCCCGGGACCACACCTCCGCCACATTTGCCCAGGTAAGGCTAGTATAAGTAAACTCCAAAAAAAAAAAAAAAGCTTAATCAAAGGTAAATTATGATTTAACAAATAGAGGCAGTTACTTTTCATGTAGGGCCAGGTAAAACAATCTGTGAGTTAAGAACCGTTTTAAGCAAAACTGACACTTTCACCAAAGCCAAATTCATGAGGATACATCTTCCCAGGGCCATGTATATCCAGTCTATAGCTCATTATGATCTAGCCTGTAGTTCTTGAGATAGCTCTGACTTAGTGATCCTTTCCGCTATGCCTTTAGCAGCGCAAAAGATAACGTGTGGAGCAATACGAAATGGAAAAAAGAACTCCTCCTGTGTGACTGCAGTCTCATGAACAGTAGAAAATTAACTATAGTTTATTATTTGGACTGTAAAGGTCACAGTGAGATTTTGGAAATCTCAGTACAGAATGGCGCTCTACATTCTCTTAGACACATGGAGATGCTGAACAATAATCTCTAATAATCCCACCAAAAATAAAAGTCATGCTGCATAATTTAACAGGAAACTCGTGGGCAGAACCAGCACATTGTTTCTGTGAGTCTGTGTTAGGGAGTCGGTGCTGTTACACCGAGAACAACTTCCCCACATGAAAGTGTACATGCAAGTCTGCAGTGTTTGTATTGATCTGCCCTTAAGGGTCGGTTTGCACCCTGCTGTCAGAGTGAATTTCAGGTGTGGTAGTTTGGCAGGAAAAGGATCTCTGTTTTGAAAACTGTGGAAATCACAACGTTCCAGGTCTGCCATAAAAATTCTCTTTGATCATCTCCTCGTTATGTTGCGCTTCTCTTTCTCCCTGTTCACAAACACATCATGCACACTCCACTCTATCTCTTGTTCTCATCGTCCTCCTTCACCTCCTGTACACCCCATCTTTTCTCATTCTGCCACTATTTTATAGCTTTTTATAAATTTCTGCCCCCCACTCCCTCCTCTCCTTCTCTGATTAAGCTTGCTGGTGCATTAATAAAGTGCAGCTCCCCCTCCTGCCCTCCTCCAGTGGGATTAGGCAGAGCACTAATTCCATCTCCGGTCCTGGCCGCTTTGAAGTCGACTGCCAGGGAAACTGGCAGCTTCTTCCATTGGCCATTTGCATAATCCCACCACTGCACTCGTACATGCTTATCAGAGTGGAGGATGAGCTAATATGCTGGATGGAGCTGCACATCGGCATTATAATAATCCAGTCGTTTCTTGTAGCCTGGCGTTCTTCATCACTGGGACCATCAGGAATAAATGGATCGCTGTTGTTATCGCCATTATGATGTCATCATTGTTACAGCTCATCTTCCTCATCACTCTTGGTTAATTCTGCAGTCCTTATCATAATAAGTAATTAGCATGCACAAATGCTAATTTTTGCTCACTGGCAGCAGCAGCTGATTGTATTTGCGTTGCATTATCTGCTCAAGCAGCACAGTGCAAAGCGCCTGTGTGCTCTCACACAACACAGCAGAACTGATGTGTGAAAACAGAGCCGCTGTAAATGTCCCAATAATGATCCCAGGAAGCCTCCCTGTGAGAAGAAAGATGAAACGGGAAGAAATGAAAACACTGTGGTTCCATAAAAGGCGATTGCCTCGATGTAATCCATGAGTCAGCAACTACTGGTCTGAACCCATGACGGAAGCTTCGGGACACCAAGCATATCCTATTAGTTTTTCATACGCAGCATATGGTCACTAAAGTGAGACTATTCTTAACTGATGTGATTTTTTTAAAATAAGTGAAGCGGATTGCTGCTACCAAATTACCAAGCGAATCAGCACCTTCTTCTGATTCTAACAGACAACAAATAATATATCACATACACAGATGAGGCATAACATTATGATCCCCTGCCCAAGATTGTGGTGGTCCCTCTTTTGCTGTCAAAATAGCCCGGACCCATAGAGGCATGCATTCCACTACACGCCTGAAGGTGTGCTGTGGTAAGTTAGGGGTGGGGCCTCCGTGGATTGAACTTATTTGTCAATCACATCCCAGAGATGCTCAACTGGATTGAGATCTGAGGAATTTGGAGGCCAAGTGAACACTTTAAACTCGTTGTTGTGCTCGTCAAACCATTCTTGAACCTAGTTTGTGGCAAGGCATGTTATCCTCCTGAAACAGGTCACAGTCATTATTTTCCATGAAAAGGTGAACATGGTCTGCAGGACCCAACGTTACCCAGCAGAACATTGCCAAAAGCATTGCACTACCTCTGCTGGTTTAACTTCTTCCTATAATCTAAGGAGCTTGGAAAGAAAACCATTTGGACTTCTTTATGTTTCCTTCAAGACATTTCACCTCTCATTTGAGAAACGTCTTCAGTTCAAAGAGCAATTGGTGGAGAGTCCCAGATTTAAAGCCCTATGGGAGTGTCCCCAAGAGGGTCATGGACACCCTATTGATCCTCTACCTGATCACACCAGCCAAGACATTTCACAGACATATTCTTCCCATAATGTATCCCGTTGCCAGGTGTTTGACCATCCATGGACACCCTGACTGGTCTGCAGTTGTGTAACCCCATACAAAACAACCCCGCTCCAAACCTTTTCAAGAATTTGAGCTACATAAAGGCCGGCTTTAACTCTCCATGTGCATCAGTGAGACTTTAGTGCCCATGACCCTGTCTTTGTGGTTAATTTAGTGTGTTTCTCATCATAAATAAACACAGCATTCAAGTCTGAAAGTGTAGCCACCATGGAAGCACCTTAAACCTGCCTTCTTTTTAATAGCCACTAGGGGGCATATCCCCTGGCTGCAAAAACTACTTCCAGCTGTATAGAAGTCTATGAGGAAACAGCCATTGGCTCCTTTGCTCTGTGGTCTCTGGAAACAGTTTTTTTGAAGACTTTATGGGCTCAGTCCCTAGATTTAGGACATACTGAATAAAACATTAAGTGCATTTCATAAATCATGACCATCATTTGAGTTGAAAGCTAACTTTGGAGGATTTCTTTGAGGAAATATAGTCTATACCAGCTAAAACCCAATACATGTTGAAAAAACTACTTCATGCTCCCATGGCATTATTAATGTATATTCATGAGACTTGTGTAGTTGCCAGGTTTTAAATCTCACAGAAAAATGCTCCTCACGTTCAACTGTGAAGAGAAGTTATAATGCATAGAAAGATAAGGGCAAAATTCGACAGCAGCAACTTGTTTAGATATGTTTTTTTGGATCGCATTATTGACGGAGACTGCAGGAGAAGGGTGCCATCTGTAGCACTGTAACCAAGAAGAGAAGGCTTTAGTGTGAAGGTGTAAAATACTGTCATCTTACCATCCAGCAAACAATGACTCCATCAAACCAGGAGGAAAGCAAGGTGAAGGTTCGCAGAAACCACCACAGCCGCCGCAGAGCAAACATGATGATATCTGAGTTATCAGTACAGGTAGTCACAGTGGACATAACCTTCTCTGATTGTTCGCCTTTGACATGTACTATGGTCAACAAATATTTTTCATCTTTTACCTCTTACAGCTAAGCATCTCGCTGGCACATGACAAATAAAGACATAGGCAGGCACAAAATACGGCGGTAACTTTTGTGAGTCTCTGTGGTTCCTTGTAGAAACAAGAAAACTCAAAGCTTTCACTCAGAATCATGAATATCAGGAGAATCATAAAAAAAGATAACAAAAAAAACAAGCATCTTCTGAACGGACTGGCATAAATGATCATTTCTGATAATGCTTCATCAGGTCAAAGGTTCGTTTTATTTTTTATATTATTAATGTTCTATTTCCTCTTTCACCTCTCACCCCTACCTGATCATGGCAGATGGCCGCCCCTCCCGAAGACTGGTTCTCTTGGACGTTTCTTCCTTTTAAAAGGGAGTTTTTCCTTCCCACTGTCGCCAAGTGCTTGCTCAAAGGGGGTCGTCTGATTGTTGGAGTTTTCTCTGTATCATTGTAGGAACTTGAGACAACTGTTGTTGTGATTTGAAGGTATGTAAGTAAAACTGAATTGAACTGACTTTTTGTTTTGTTTCTTTTTTGATATTTAGTTGTATCTTGCATTTCAGTTTCTTTTCCTTCCTGTATTTTATTTTATTTTTTACCTCATGTGCATAAATAGTCCAGTCTCCCTCTGTCTTTTGTCTTAATGTCCCTTGAACTTCCTTGTTTACCTCCCTGCCTGCTCAAGTTTTACTTTCACATGTAGGCACTTGTTTGTGATGGACCTTCTAGCTGCCATAGTAAGAGCCTTGCGTTCTGTTATCCCATCTGCCTGAATGTCTGCATTTGAGTTCTCATTCTAAAACTCATGACATAGAATAAAATAATATAGTTATTTAGTTTGAAAAACTCTGCATCTGAAGGTTTTGAGCTTTTGTAGAGCTTCTGTGATTTATAATGCACAGAATTTGACACTTTTGGAATTTCTATTATTTTTAAAATATATCTCAACCTTTTCATTACTA